ATTTATAAATTTCAAATATATATACATATATATATATATATATATATGTAATGAGTATAAAATATTCTGCAATAAACCTTCATTTATAAAAGTATAACAATTCAATATAATATTGTGTGTTTATATTATTATCAGTTATATAGTTGATTAAAAATTTATATCAAAATGTATCTAATTTGCAAAAATGTTGATAACATGCACAAAATACGGTAAAATTTTTAAATTTTTCATCTATATTATTTATTTTTTATTTCATATATATTTACTTCATATATTTATTTCATCATATATCATATTTACTATATCATATATTTACTTCATATTTTTGTGTTTAAATTGCTTATATTAAGAAAAAAATGTAAAATATTGAAAAGGTACGCTTTAGGAAACCGTAAGTCGGCATTCAGTAACTTTTTCATATCTATATCAAAATTAATAAATAGTTCTTTATTATTGATAAAATACAAATTAAAATTAATTTTTCTTCTAAACATAATTACTAACTACATTATATTTTTATAATATCTACACAATATATTTTTCTACAGTTGACCCACCATATTTCATAGTACAAAACATAAAGGATCTTTCACAGATAGATGGACATATGTCATTGAAAACGGTTATAAAAGTTTCTCGTACTCTTAAGAAAAAAAGCGCAAAGATTAGTTCATTGCAACAGGTAATAAATATTCAAATAAATAAACATTAACATTAATAAAAATAGGGTTTTTAATAATTATTTACAATGCAATTAACTTAGCAATGTCATTAACTTAGAAAAATAAAAAATCCATGTATTTTACGTAATATACACGTAATTATTTATATATATTATTTTTATAAAAATAATATTATAATTATATCTTTTAACCTGTATCTCTCTCTCACTTTATAAAAAATGACATTTTAACCAATTGTAATTAATCTTCAATAATTAAATTATACTATATTTTATTCTTTTCCAAAATAAAATACTAATATTTATTTCTAGAAACTTGAAAGTATATTTGTAAATTTTTTGAGATTTTTTGAATCACTTTAATAAATAAAAGAAAAAGTAATCAGACACGAAATATTCATGATGGTCAGGACAGAGTTAAGGCTATAGACTCCTTTCTTTTTTCAATTATCTAAATATATATCATAAACAAATAATGTACTTTCTTTTTGTAGCAGCCGAATAAGAAGAGTAAACTGGATTGAAAAGATATTCTTGGATTAAAAGAAATAATATTCTTGTTTAAATGACATATAAATAATTGGATTGGATTCTTTATATTAAAAACGCTTCTTCTGTCTGTTGAAAGTCTTACATTTGTTACGTCTGAACATTATTTGTATAATTTAATTATGTATTATTACACATCATATATTGTACTAGCTTTTCGGCCCGCGCTTCGCGCGGGCCTCAAAGCTATTCCCCCGCCAATCAGCTTTTCGGCCCGCGCTTCGCGCGGGCCTCAAAGCTAATCCCCCCGCTGACTCACTATATTATTAGCTCTCATACAATTTTTTATTTGTTTAATTTATAAAACTTCTTTGTATACGATATTTTTTGTATAATGTGATATTTTTTGTGTTCATGTATTAAACATTTAAGCTTACAATTAAAAATTATTTATATATAGATCTATTTATAGATATATATCTATTTGTATATTAATTATATATTATATAAGATATAATTCAAAAAATATAAAAATATCTATGTATCTTATATATAAATAATTTTTAATTTAAATCTGATTTAAAGCGCGGCATCAAAATCTATTCTCCTCTCCCTAAACTCACCCATTAATTACCGTTTTCCAAAAAGATCGATAACGATAAATTAACCACATTATAGCAATCCCCAGAAAATTCTCTCCTTATTTCATATACAATTCTTTCAGATTCGGTCCATTAATATTTTGCAAACAGACAGACAAACAGTTTGGTTTTACATTATTATATTAAAATGGTGGACTTCCACACCACCCTTGAGGTTCCACCTATTGGCGCGTTAGGTTTTTTATAGTAGACCTTCGCCTTAAGCCCTATTATACTACTTCTCATATTATATGATTCTTGCCTAGCGCAGAGTTATTACTGCTCATTATGTATAATGCATTTTGTCTGCAATTACTGCTCCAATCGCAGAATGCATTTCTGTCCCTCTTTATTTTATTTTCATTTATTAATTTATGATAATATGTCGTTTTTTTCCCTTGAAACGATAAAGTAATCACTGCGCATTGCGCAGAATGCATTTTGTCTGTTCTTACTGCGTCAATCGCAGAATGCATTTCTCTCTGTCCCTCTCTATTTCACTTTTATTTATTAATTTAAAATAAGATAGTATGTATTTTTTTCCCTCTTAATGATAAAGTAATCACTGCGTACTGCGCAGAATGCATTTTTTCTGTAATTACTGCGCCAATCGCAGAATGCATTTCTCTCTGTCCCTCTCTATTTCACTTTTATTTATTAATTTAAAATAAGATAATATGTATTTTTTTTCCTCTTAATGATAAAGTAATCACTGCGCACTGCGCAGAATGCATTTTGTCTGTAATTACTGCGCCAATCGCAGAATGTATTTCTCTATCCCTCTCTATTTTTTATTTATTTTTTTATTTATTAATTTAGGATATTTATATATATAAGATATATCTTATATATATATTTATAACTATATACTCTAAATATAATACATAAACAAAAATTATATAATTATTAATAGTCATGTTTACATAAATTTTAATTTTAAATAATTAACAACTTCTTGCGCTAACTTATTTCCGGTCATTTAATAAACCATTGACTTATCTTTTCAATATATTCAATGTGGGATTAACATCTGTTATTCTTATATAATTTTGTTAACAACTTTTTTTCCTACTTAAGGACCTCTTTATAGACCACATTAGTAGTTTTCCCCTCAGGTGCTAGAATCACCAGACTGCTAGGTGAGCTTACCCTTGAGCAGGCCACGTAAAACTGCCCATGTGAGAAACAGTCCTCACTTAAATCAATCCCTGCTACTTTCAGCGACTGTCCCTGTGACTTATTAATGGTCATCGCAAAACAAACCTTGATAAGAAATTGCAGCCTTTTAAACTCGAAAGGGTACTCTGATGGTATGAGTGGTATGCGTGGTATAAACACTGTATCTCCCCGAGCACAGCCGGTGAACACTGTGGCCTCGATAACATTCCTATAGAGTGCCTTTACTCGCAACCTGGTTCCATTACAAAGTTTTGGTGGATTGAGGTTTCGCAGCAACATCACTGGAGCCCCCACTTTAAGTCGAAGCTTGTGAGTGGGTAAACCAGGAGGGTTCAAACTATTTAGGAACTCCACGGGGTAATTGACAGCGTCATCTGTTTGTACCACCGAGTCTACAGATCTGTACTCCATTTCTATCTCGTCTAATAATTTAAGTAGAGTGTCATTAATAACACCAGCTTTATCGTTCTTAGGAGTCAAAATTGCACGCTCACACAACCAGTCCATAGATTTCTTTTTGATATCAACAATATCAGGGTATATTTTGTCAATAAGGTTAGCTAAGGTTGTCACTACTAAGCCTAAATCTTCTGGAATAATCACCTTTCCCTCAGACTCGGGATATTTTCCATCCCCTATTTCAAGTAGAATTTTCGAGAATTGCCCCGCGGAGACATCACCTTTCAAATATACCCTCATATTCTTTTTGAGAGAGAGTTTACAGATAAGAGACCATAAATATGATGCCTTAATGCATGCTTTAACCTCATCAGCTCGAGTTCCCCTTTGCACTACAGGCAAAGTCTGTCGGAAGTCTCCAGCCAGCAGCACAGTGACTCCCCCCATCACTCCATCGTTACCCTTAATATCTTTTAAGGTTGTACTCAATGCTTCAAAACCCCCTTTATGTGCCATGGTGCTCTCATCCCAAACAATGAGCTTACAGTCCCGCAACACTTGGGCCATGTTGCTTTGTTTTGAAATATTGCACAAGGGTGTTTCTACATAGTTTAGATTGAGGGGCAGCTTAAAAGCAGCGTGAGCAGTCTTGCCTCCCTCTAACAGCGTAGCAGCAATGCCAGAGGATGCAACAGCCAAGGCAATGCCACATTCACTTCTTACTTTTGCCAAAAGTAAATTAATGAGAAAAGTTTTTCCAGTACCACCTGGAGCATCTAGAAAAAAGACCTGACCAGCACTTAATTCAATACTGCTAAGGACCTGCCGATAGACAGCGAACTGCTCATCTGTTAGTAAACCCTCGTTATTCGACACTACTTGTGCTAAGATGTTTACATCATAATTTGTTTCTCTCAGATAATCCCGATTTCTCAAAACTTCTCCTAACCTTTTTGGCTGAGACAGACCATATTGTTGTAACTCCTGTCCTCCCAAAGCCAATACTGCGTCTTCAATCATCACCAAACATCTGTTATACACCTCGTCCATTATCTGCTGCGCACTGCTTTGCAACTCACTTTCCACTTGTCGTGTAATATCTTCTGAGAGGCTGTCTTTATATTTTTCCCAAAGACTCATAGGCTCGTTAAGTTGACAGAATACCAACATCACTGTAAAAAGCTCCCGCAGCTTGAAGGAAGAATCACACAAAGCAGCTTCCTCCAATGTATTGTCCCAGTGTTTGTCATCTTCCAGCAAACCTAATGCCTTGCATGCAGACTGGAATGTGGAACAGACAACACCATTTACAGTTTTCAATTCTAAAAATGATGTTGGACCTCGAATCTCATACAGCAACATGCGAAGATAATAACACTCTGTGTTATTTGGATGGATGGTATACACTCTTCCCAGCACATTGTCCTTCTTTATTCCTGGCCAGCCATCGACATTCATTCCCCGCTTTCTTCTCTCAAACTTGTTATTTTTAAACACAAAATAAAAAGGAACCTCACAGTACAAAAGAGTTTTTGCAAAATCGTCGGTTTTGCACAGCTCGAAGAAAGCCAAGAGTGTTGTCTGAAGTGGATTACTAATCCTCTCAACTAAGTTTTTGGAATTAAAGTATACACGCTGACCATTCTCGAGGTGTACAGCTAGATGAAAGACAGCAGGATACCTCTCATGAATAGGAAACGCCAAGATTCTCCAAACTGCCTCTGAGCTGCTAATATACCGTCCACTCTCGTACAATTTTACCTCATCCCTCTTATTCTCTAAGGCAAAAGTCGCTTGATCACTGCCCTTATTCACGTACTTACAAATATACTTTATAGATTTAACTGAATTACATAATTCCACATTAATATGAGCATTGAAAGTACGTAACAAAACAGGATTATAGGGCACCACCCAACGATTGTCCAGCTCTATTTCATTGATTTTTACGGTAAATCCACCATCAGCTTGAGACCTTCTCCGATACTGCGGATATCCATCGTTTCCTGTCTGAGTGTCCTTTAGAAGTTGCCTGGGATACCTCTTGCTGCAATTGCCTCCTTTCATACATGGCGAATTACGGTTTAAGCCCCCGCAGGGCCCATGAATCATATTGGCTTTGACAATATTATAAAGAAGAGAGTCTTTCACGGGATCAGGTATTTCAGCACATATGACTTTGTCGATCATATTATTAAAGATGCGCTGCTCTAGCCACAGCAAGATGTGAATATGAGGCAAACCTCGTTTTTGCCATTCCACAGAGTACATGAAATACGTCACTTTTCCAAACAAATCACCCTTTTTTAAAAGAGCCATCATTTTCTTCACCTTGAGATGAAATACCCTAGCTATAATATCGTGTCGATCGTGAGATTTTTGGCCAGGAAGCAGTACATCTGTGATATCCTTCCACTTTGGATTACAAGTAAAAGTAATAAACAGATCAGGACGACCGTAAAAACGGACGTATGTCATAGCGTCCTGAGTTCGCTCATGCATATAGCGTGGTCCTTCAGTGAATGATGACGGAAGCACCACCATTTGACCCATCTGAGCAACGTCAGCATCCTGCTTTCCCATGGCGTCTCTCAAATGAATGCAACTATCTGCCCTCAACTGCACCTGGTTATTCCTAATATAATTCAACCTTTCAGTCTCTATTTTAGCATACATATCAACCAAAAATTGACTGAAAAGTGAACGGAAGTACACCAAGTGATTAACTTCCCCTTCCCTGACCATAATACGGTATGAGTAAAAGCTCGCTGCGGATACTGTATTCTTTAGGGGCAACTTGGTCTGAGGATCGCGCTGAGACAGGGCAATAGAGTACCCATCTTCGCCACGGCAGAACAAAAGCGGATACTGCAGGGCGTCGTATGATCGATGAA